AGACAGAGGCATGTCTGGCAAATATGGAGGCTGGGGCATCATTACAGTATTGTTTTTGGCCAGAAATTTTGTTTAAAATTTAACAATTTTAGAACAAATTTTGCTGCAACGCGTTTCATACCCAAAACATCATCAGCGACTTCTCTGATCGTTTATAACCATTTCTTCCACTTTTTCCATGTTTCCATCTTCAACGTCTTCACTGCCATCTTGGAAACTCTTATACCACTTGTAAACTCTTGTTTTACTTTGTTAACATTTCACAGAATTTATTTAATTTTTTAAGCAAAATTGGATAAAAATTCTTTGATCCATTTCTTTTAACGAACGAAAAATCGCCGAGCTCATAAAACACGTCTAGCCTTAGCGGCTGCCACAGACAAAGTAGACAATGAAAACAGCGAAAGTTTTTATCATACTTTAGGGGCATGTATACCAACATAATAAAGAAAATTTTATGACAACCGGACCCTTCAAACCCGCGAAATTTAACAATTCCCGTTATTTTCTGAACACACCTCGTAAACCTTTTTGTTAAAAGTAACAAGTTTTATATCATATTAATACAAATGTAGCTTTGCTAGAAAGTTTCACATACAGAATATGCAATTAAAATTTAAATTTTAAACTCTTAATCTTATAATCTCGTAGGGGCATAAAAAGAACGAACTCGAATCAAATTAAATGCATGCACAATATGGCTCTTATCCGCAGTAGCTTCCGGACGTTGTGGGTCATTGATCGACAGTATGTTCCAGCATCCGGAATATATAAAATCCAGTCTGCGATCTTAACATACTTAACATAAAAAATAAGTGCCACTTTAAAAAACGATTTAACGCTTAATATTCAAATCTGCACTATATCAAACGTATTAACTTGTAAGTTGCCTTTTGTTACTAACTTTGTCTGGTTGTAAAATCCTGGTAAGCACCCATTATTAGCTCTAATAGCATAGTTCATAGGCAGTTCCTTATTGATTGTTTTTTACCCTATACCTGTCTCAAAACGACACAAATTAAATAAATTATAGTTTTTTATGATATAGTGACTTAATATAAATGATAATATCATTTTTAAATATAATTGTCCATAAAGTTTGTTGATAAGTAACTTTAAATCTCCTGACATAAAAAGTGATGAAGAAAATGAATTTATTTCGGCAAAAATCAAATAAGCTGCTAATGAAGCTACTACAATCGTTTCTTGTAATCTAAATTTTAGTGGCAAAGTTCAGTGAACAAGATCTTTTGGCATACTTTGGTTCAAAATATAGAAATCGTCAACGCTTTGGTAAAATTATACCATGTTGAAGGTGATGATAAACATAAGGAATCAGGACATAACAAAGTATATAAATAACAATGTTTAAGATAAATAAAAATTGACAACTTTATCGATACACTGAAACTTCTTTAAAATATAATATATTCTAAGTATTATTTAAACAACCCTTAAAAAGTTAGAACTTGAACAGTAGTTCAATGTTATTTAGAAACCCATCTAAAATCTAAATTTTTATTGTCCATTTATTTTTTATCTGCAGGGATCAATAAAAACTGAAAGGCTTCTTCACTTTTTGCAGCTTCAAACGTACAGCTTTGGACAGGTGAAACAAACTGTCAACATAAACAGGGCTTCTTGGCAGTTGAGCATTATTGACCAAGAATTGTCCTCACAATTTACACGAAGTTCCAAGACAAAACTTTACGAGCTTTACATATTACATTGCGTTTAAGCACTAAAACCAAAATATAAATAAATAAATAAATATGATTGAAATGCACGCCCTTTTATAGGATTTTCCTGGACTAAGAAACTTTGGTTGGCATGCATCGAAACAAACAGCTTAATCCAAAATGACAACAACTTTAGGCACAAAATCAAAAATACGTGAATTGAATATTTATTATCCAATAGCTTGTAAGGACCTTTTGAAACTCAATCGACCTAACACAAAATTTATTTTCCATTTTACGACAGTTTGTCATAATAATTATAATAATACCCTTAAATTTTTTAAATTATAAAGTAAACGTTTAAAACGAGATAGAAATTTTCCGTTCTTGTAATTCACATTATAAAATTGCCGTAGGCATTTTGAAAGCTAAAAATAAAATAAAGTTCATATACCTAACTGAACAACCTTATCTCTCAATAATTGAAAATTTGAGAGGGTTGTAAGCTGGTTATTTTAAAGGGTATCTTATTTCCTTAAAAATAAATTCTGCATATCATGTTTAAGTGGGTATATTTTGTTCTGCTTATTGATTATGTCTTACAGTGGCGTGCCGAGAAATTTTTGCCTGTGGGGTTTAAGAGGAGAAAAAATCTTAGATTGGTAATTAATAAAGTTATTTTTTTACTCTTTTGTTTGAAAATCGTAACCCTTTAGGGGGGTTTATTACCCAAAATTTTGATTTTATAGGTTGGCTACTTTAATATTGGTTAAAAATTTTTTTTATGATTTTTCTACTTATGAGACTTTACTGGCAATAAATTTTGTTTAACACCAAAGAAAATCCTTTTTTTTCTTATTTAACATTAACAGCCGCTTATTGTAAATAAGTAAATTAAGGACGGCATGGCGAATCGATTTTGACATTAACTGTCAAACCAATGACTGTGATACCAACTATATACAAAAAGTTTATATACAAACCTCATGTCATAAGACCTTTTGTCGCACTCGTCCATTACAAAACTCGCTCTTTCGTCGCTCGTGTTATAAATTGTCCGCGTGCGACAAAATGGCGTCTTATGACATTAGTTCTTTAATATACCTACTATTCCTACATTTTTTAAATTAACCAACATTTTATTGTTCAAATCAAAGAATACCTTTCTGATGCTCTGAATTTAAAGGCTATCTCAAAATTTCTCCCTCCAGATATGTTAAAAATGTTTTTTTAGTTTGAAAAAAAACTTAAATAAGACCGTTTTTATTGGTTTTTGCTTTTTTCTAAACCGATACAATAATTCACCATGAAGTACATATATTCTGTCAATAATTAACATCGAAATCTTAGAAATAAAGTATTTTAAGGGGGATTGCTTCTGAAACTAGATGCAATATGAAATTTCGAAAAGAGTGTATATTAATAATAAAGTAAAATATAAAATATATTCCAATTTTCATAATTAAAAATTTTGATCGACACAAAAAATTGATTTCTTATTATTTCAGCATAAAAAATCTAAAATAAATAAATATATTAAACATTTAAATAAAAATTAATTTTAATTAATTAATTGTGATATTTAAAAAAAGTTTCCCATAGCAAAAAGCGTAAAAAATGGGCACAGGATACTTAGTACAACACATAAAAGGTGTTGAAAAAAAAATGAAAAAGAACAAAAAACGGATGTTTTTAACATTGCATCTCTAGCTCATCACGTCAGGTGAAAATCTAATCCAAGCAGTTATTTTTAATATCTAAAGGTATTTTTAAGTATTGCTTTTGACTGTATTAAAGTATAACAACAGTATAAAATAAATGGTGATTTTAATTTCAGAACAAAGAACCACTTTTTAAATAAGATAATCAATTAAGTCCATTAAATTTAATATTTTTCATTACAGAAGTTTGTAGGACTAAATTTTCTTATTCCGAAAGGAAGTTGGTAGTAAGTTTTTGCAATAAAAGTTTATACAAAAATGTTGAGACAGATTTTCAGCTTGTTTTACTTTTCGCAGAAGTTCCGGTGAAACAAAATAATAAATTTCTTAGACTATAAAGAAAAAAAAACTATATAAATGTATGTATATAAAGAATGAACTATATTTTTATAGTTAAATTTAAGAATTATAAAAATATATTTTATTATAAATGTCCAACATTTATTTTTTTTAGTTGTAAAGAGTATTTATGCATAAAATTTCTAAAAAATATAATTTAAATGATGTCCTCAGCGGACATTTGCTTTTAAAATTACGTTTTAAAAAAGTTTTTCTAGTAAAATTTAAACTTAAATTATAAATAAACTGTATATGCAGAAGGTCCCAGAAGTCGACCACCACTTTAAAGATGACCCGCAGTAGCCCACAGGAGGTAATAAAAATGCATTTTAGTATTTTTAATAACAAAAAGCATGCGTTTGGCAACATGTGCAACAATTGATTATCACAACAATTACAACAATTAATTGGCTATAGTCGCAGCGGCAAATGTTTTCCGTTGCGTCATCAATTTGTAAACCAAGCACAGACATTACTTTGGGATTTATGCCGGACGTATGTGGATAAACCGGTTTTTGACATTTAAAATTGATGACGCAACGGAAAACATTCGCCGCGGCGACTATAATTGATTGTTATCTGTCGACATCACACCTTAGCCAACGATTGACTGTTAAAATTTAAAATTAGATTTTGTCGTAGAGTTTCTGGATAAGTATTTTTTTTATTTTATTTTTTTTATTTATCTTTATTTGTCGCTAATCCATTTGTAATTTTATTACCTGTCGTTTCCTTTTTCTACCGTTCCTTTCCTTATTTCTTTACTACGACCTGACATGCAGAGACTTCTTGAAACTTCAGATTGTGAGTGAATCTTATATGTAAGTTTAAACAATAAATTTGTTTTTATCGTATTTTTGTTTATTTAAATACTTTATTTGTTTTAAGAAATTATAGGTAAATAATAATAGGAGGGGTGGAGATAACTCTAGAGTACCTGACAGGTGCCAAGCCCATAAATCAGGGATAGCGAAAAACTTAAAAACTATTAAAACTATTTTATCAATTAATAAAATTAGTGGCGGCTCATCGGAGGCAGGAAAGGCTTAGCCTTGTTAAAATTTTTAATCATAATTCTAAATATGATCATAACTTGAACGAATTTTATTAAAATACCGTTTTTTAGTTAACAACATTTCAAGTCTTGGTATACAAATTGGCAATAAAAAGTCTGGGGAAGGAAAAATATTACTATGTAACATTTTCCTTAAAACCAAAAGCAAAAAGTTGCTTTTAATTCCAGCAAACTTTAAATTCTTACCTGTAGTAATTAAGAATTTGAGCGAAAACTCCGGGATGCCTGTCGAAAAAGTACTCGTTTAATATCGGATCGTAATTGGCGAGAGCTTCGGTGAGTCTTGACAGCCGTGTGGCGGGAATCTTTTTCAGCGTCGCTTTGTATGTCTCATAGCGGATGCCGCCAACATTTAATATTATGCGATTTTCACCATCCATAACGCCATTGCAATCTGACAGTGAAATTTATCGATGCCTGAAAAAAAGAAAAAAGTTTTAACTCATATCTGTTTTGCTTTTGACATATAAAATTAACACAAAAATTGACCACAAAGTAATGTGTGATAAGTGGACCGAGGGGTCAACCACCCAAAGGGAAAACGTCCAGGGATCCCCATGTATTCCCATTATATTTTATTGTATTACTATGTATTTTCATTGTATTCCTACGTATTTCCATTGTATTCCTATGGTATTCCCCCTCTAAAATGTCCAGGGATTCCCAGGTGTGGGTGACCCCTCGAAGTGGACAAGCATGATTTAAATGGTCTAAGGATTATCTATACAGCATGTCCCGAAAATAGTGTGCAATACTCTAGATTTGGTTTCTAAAGGTAAAAATAGAAAAAAAATTTCTTTTAAACATAGGTCTCTGAACAGTTTTAAATCATCTCCATATATAAGACTAATACCTCTTTATTATTAGAAATATTATCATTTATGTATACATCACTAAAATACTTTTGTTAAACATTTATAAATGCACAATTTTAGCAAAAATAAACCCACAAATTAAAAAAAAAATTCCTTTTTCTTTTTTAATTTACTATATTTAACAAGAAATATTATTAAAGTAATACACGTTTCCTGAAAATACATTGTTTTATCTCAAATCGTTTCAGAAATAATAATAATTAAACATCTTCAGGGGCGCCCCTTTAGGAGGCTGTATCTCCCTTAGGGGCGATTTGCCAACCTATGAGTATTGCACACTATTTTCGGGAAACCCTGTATATGGGTACCTTAAAGTACTTAAAATAAATATACCTTAGAACATGAAAAACGTGAATTCTTCATTTTTTATCAAAAATTTGTAAAAACTTAGTTTTCACAAATTTAGTATAATAATAAAAAACTATTTAGTTAGTTATCTTAAAAGCATATACTTATTTCCATTTCCTTAACATAAAGTACATTTTGTTTTAAGAGGATTTTGTACAAATTTAAAATAAATTTGTTTATTAAGATAATAATATAAAGTTATATTAATTTTGACCGTATAAACAAGGAATGTACAATGTACAATTAATGCGTTTGGAATTTGTAATTTACATTCCTAAAATGCCAGAAATAATATTCGTAATTGAAATAATACAACCAAAAATAATTAAGTCAAATGAAACATTTTTGTTCCTAAAATAGTATTTGTTAATATTTACATTATCAAATGATAGTAGATAGGTTAGATTATAAGGTGGGAAAATATTAAGTTTTATTAATTTATTGATTGCATTACAATTATTTTGGCAGTTTAAAATAAATGATTTAGATCTGATATAGAGTTATTATCACATGAGCAAACCGGATTTTCCAATACTACTATGCGATATAAGTGAGAGGGAAAACACCCATGATTAATTTTTAGGCTTACTTTTCGAGACAATTTACATTTAGGTAAGAAATTTTTGTAGGTATTGTTGGATGGATAAGTGTATAGTGGTTTTTGGAGGAATGAACGTATCTCTCAAATTATTTTCCATTCTTATCTTTTTGTATTTTTTTATTGTGCTATTAAGTCTTGATAAAGAAGAAGTTGCGGTATTGTGCAGGATTCTTTTATAGCTTGCTTAGCAAATTTATTTGCTATTTCATTACCATCGATATTTTCATGGCCTTTAACCCAAATATAAATAATGCCTATACCTTTTTGTTCAATAATCGATTGTATTTTTGCGATTTCACAGATTAGATAGTGGGCATTTTTTTGCTGAAAAGTATTTCAAAGAAAGAAGTACTGCTTGTGAGTCAGATAAAATGATGATGTTACACAGTAAAAAATTTTGTCCGTGTAAATTTTTTAGTGTAGGGGTAAAAATATTAGAGTTGATTTGTAAGTGTAAAAGTTACACTACAAAATACACTAGGTAGCATTTAGTGCTTATTAACTTTATTAAACACATTTAAAGAATATGAACATTATTCATTGGTACATTCACACTATTTATTATTAAAATAAATCAAAAGGGTAGAAAAACTTAATGCGAGTATTTATTACCCCTTAATGTGTTAAATAGTGACAAAATGTATACTACAGTGCATGTCAATTTCTTTGTTTGTTTTGATGTTACTAACTTAGTAATACTAAGAGCCCTTTTTTTTATACTACTAGTGCACATTGTATCACAATTAAAGTTAAATTACACCAATAGTGGCAAAATAGACTGAAAAAACTGGTAATAACTGAAATGCGTTTTAAAATGTTTGGTTGGGATACCGCGTTGTAGAAGTGTGGCATTTTTGTTCAGTTAGATTTTAATTACGGTGAATCCATAAGAGGAGATTCTTACTTTTTGGTAAGTATTATACTTTTTCTTTAAGCCTTAATACTCAATAAATACCAAAATTTTAAAAGGATGTCCATACCCGACCTATATTATATATCAATAATTTACAGCAGTAGGTCGGGTTCTTCTAACATTAATAATATAAATACATACAAACTTGATTTACTTTTTATTTTCAAGGGTAATGGTTGTTATATTAACCTATACCTACATTTTTATTAACATTATGGAAAATTTGTACACGTGTGGTAAATCCCCGACATACAGCCGCCTGACGCCTCTCTACCAATGGGATCACCCATTTTTTTTAACAGAAAAATGAATTACTGATGAATACTCAATATAATTCGTTGCTTACAAGTTGACAGCCAGTAAAACTTTTACGTTTTAAGGAACCATTTTGCTTAAGCCAGCCATACGACTCAAATATAAAATTATATTTTAAAAGGCACCGATTTTGATAATTGTCATAGATTTTTGTTCCAAATAATTGTTTCTCTTTATTTACCTTTTCGTTTTATTCACTACCACCAATAGGTTTTACTCAAGTAATAGTGTTAATTTACACTGAACAAAAGTGGGATTTTACCCAGGAGTGTAGAAGTAAACAATTTTAGGTAAATTAACACTTTTAACACAGTGTAAAATAACTTTATCCTCAGTGCTATAGTGTTAAATCATACTTGCTTACTTGGGGAAAATTACACTACAAATTAACTCTAATTGTAGTGTTATAAAACAACACTATTAGTGTGGACCTGTGTGAACTCTAATTAGTGTTGCTTAGAGTTAATTTTTTTTACTATGTATTTAATCATCAAGTGGAGTTATTTATTTTTAAAGTTTACAAAAATCTGGATACTTGTTTCAATATTGTTGTTTGCATTAATAAACATGCAGAACTTGTAGAATTTTTACGTTATGAGAACATTTAAAAAAAAAGTTATTTTTATACACTTTCATGCAAGAATTTCATGTAAACAAAATGGTTTTTTTTATTATTAATTTAACTTCAATAAATTTGTTTAATAAAACACTTAATGTCAAGTACATACGTTTTACCGCAAGTATTACAGCATCAATTTATAGCCACGCTATTGCGTTACATTGAAGTGGCAAGTGCATTTCCAATGCCACGAAAAAGCGTTTTTTCGCTCAGTCGATTCTTTTCATTCGCACAATGAAACGGGATGACATTGAGTTCTATTTTCACGTTCGTAGACCCCATCTTCTGCTTTCATTATCGACATAAAGGCGAAAAAAATGTATGTTCTACCACTATCTACTGGGGTGAAACAAGAAGAATTTGAAGTATTAGATACATAAACGTTTAACTAAAAATGTTAACTTTTACTTCCGGTAATATCTATGTTTAGGTTCTTCATTTTTAGTTCTTTAAATTTAATAATAATTATTTAATTTTCAATAAATTTATTGGTATTTACAATAATTATTAAAAAGCAAAATCCTTTATTTTTAACAATTTTTATAAATAATTAATAAATTCTAAAAGCTTTATTTAAAATAAAAAATAAACTTTAGTCTTAAAGATATTATTCATGAAAGACAACGTCGGATAAATGCCACCCCTAACAACGTACGACCCCATGCAAGCGAAGTCTGAACATTTTAATCACGCATCTCTGGTGTTGCTACACTGTTATAAAAATTCGATTTGTTAACATGAGTTTGTAGTTTGTAATTTTATTTTGTAAAATTTTAACATAATTTCTTTCTCTAATATTTTACCGAAAGTTTTGTAATGGTAATAATTTTGTAAGCATTTTGTTAATTTTCAAAGGTTAAAAATCATTTTGTTAATGTCTAACAAATTATTTCGTTGAAAAATTACACGTGATTTCAGGCAGCTAATCAAACTATTTTTCAGCACAACAATACGCATCAACAAGTTTAACTGACTTCAGCGTGTGCAACATATTGTTCTGCCTACTTTATTCTGATTCTTAACGTGTTCGTAACAACTAAAGTGTTTATAATATATGACCACAAATCTTTTATTATTATTATTCGGATTCCTTATACCTACCTATTTAAAGAGTGTGCGAAGTATTCTAAAAAAGATGCCATCACTGGTTTTGAACTGAAATTTACGATGGTTCTTAAGGGCCATCACTATGTTTTTTTTAGCAAAATCAGGCAGTGCCAGATTTTAAGTCGCAGTGCCAAATTTTAAGTCGCACTGCCAGATTTTAAGTTGCACTGCAAGATTTTAAGTCGCATTGCCAGATTTTAAGTCGCACTGCCAGATTTTAAGTCGCACTGCGAGATTTTAAGTTGCACTGCCAGATTTTAAGTTGCACTGCCAGATTTTAAGTCGCACTGCCAGATTTTAAGTCGCACTGCAAGATTTTAAGTTGCACTGCCAGATTTTAAGGCGCACTGCCAGATTTTAAGTCGCACTGCGAGATTTTAAGTTGCAGTGCCAGTTTTTAAGGCGCACTGCCAGATTTTAAGGCGCACTGCCAGATTTTAGGTCGCACTAAGAGATTTTAAGTCACAGTAGTTTCGAATGTAAATAATATAATAATTATAACATAATAATTTGTTTATTTATTTAGGTAGGTAGGTAGATTGAAAGTAAAACAATTATTTAAGACGCATACATTTTTATTATATAGATGTTTTTTATAATAAATGTCTATAATGGAAATAAAAAAATATTTTGGTTTAT